TTCGTTAGATTATAATTGCAAATTTACAATTTTCTCTGGACTATACCAACAAAAGTGCAGAAAAAATAGAGAACAAAACTTAGAGAATAAAAAATGATAAGAAATCTACACTTATCTCTGGTTTAAAGAAATTTTTCTGGTTTGAAAAAATAGAGAACAAAACTTATCATTGATAAGTATGTTGATGAAAAACAGAGCACGGAAAATAAACTCTAAAAATCAAAATCAACTCTACTGTCAACTCTCTTTGAAATTGATCAAAAAACAGAGAATGAAAAATGAACTCCAAAAATCAAAATCAAAATCAACTCTATCACACTGGCCTCTCTCTAAAATTGATCAATAATAGAGAATGAAAAATCAACTTTAAAAATCATAAATAACTTCACTGAGCTAGTCTCCCTTTTAAATTGATCAAAACTGAAAACAAAAACCTAATGCAACATACACTCGAAAAACTAATATGAAATCAGAATCCTTACATACAATTCAAATCCATATGGAATCTCCATCTACAACATACATGATTCAACACCACTGAAAAATCTACACGATCAATACCACTGTAACACCTACATGATCATAGCAATCTCCATAGTCAAGTCCACTGCAACACTTGCAAAATTCCTACGAAATCTACACCTTGAAGTCCATCCCCATGAAATCTTCTATAAAACAGCAATAGAATATTCAATTTGCCAAAATCCAAACAAACGTATGTTATAAAGAAGGGTAAATTATGTATTTTTCAACGTAAAATAAGATTAAGAAACCTTAGGCATCAAAAAATATTATTGTGGACTTCTCCTCCTACCAAGAGTTGGGCAGGGATCTTAGACCAATTTTCCGTAAAGTTATTATATGATAATCTAACTATAACATATTTATATTTAATTTTTTAAAATAAATTTTATATAATTTTTATTTCTACATATTTTTATTTTTCAAATAAATATAAAAGAAAATTAAATAGTTAGAATTACTTTTAATTTTCTGTACTTAATTTTTCTTTCTTCATAATTTAACTACTATTACTTTTAATATCAAAATGAATATTATCTTTACTATTTTATAATTTAATATATATCATATAAAATTATTTTATGATAATTAACTTTTAGAACATAATAGAACTAAAATTATCAAAATACACAAATAATTCAACTAAAATTAAATATATATATATATATATATAAGTATTTAAGTAACAATTTTATAGAATGATAGAATTAATATTATTAAAATAAATAATTAAAATTATACTTTGATTTTAAATTAAAATTAAAATTATTAATTTATAATTCACATTGTATCATTAAATATTTTTTTAAAAAAATTAACACAGGCATTATATGAGTCAACTGTTAGTTGAGATATAATGATAAAAAAATTTAAAATACGAAAATCTGGTGGTTTTGCCAAACCTCCGATTAATTACTTACTTTGGATAACTGGTTATAAAGTTATTGTTTGTCAGGGAAAAAAATGAAAATAAGAGATATACCGCCACATGCCATGACTGATGAAAGGAATAAGAATGACGAATTTATGTGTTGTTTTGCGATGTTGATAGGATTCGTTTGGGAAGTGAGTTGTATTTTTAATTTTTTGATTTTTTTGATTATTTTAGTTTAGGGTTTAAAATTTTAATTTGGAAAAGATTTTTAACTTTTTGATTTTTTTGAATTTTTTGTGAGAAAAAAAATGTAATAATTATGGATTGAATGTGATGTTTTGTCTTATTTGATTAAAAAGTCTATTTTGTTTTTTGTAACTAAAATAGCCAAAATAAATCTGGCTTTCGGTTTCCCAAACGAAGCCAAAAAGTTCATTTTTAATTTTTTTTAGTCCATTTTATCTTTTTATAAATAAAAAATGTAAGAGATGATATAATTTAAAATGGATAAAAAATTAAAAACAGACTTATTATTCGTTTTCCATAAGACCCCATATGTTGATTAATGGGAGTTTTTCTTTTAAGGTCCCTGGTATTATGATTTTATAGCATAAAGGACACCAAATATTTTCATAATGTCTAAAGTCCCTCAACAATATTTTCATAATGTCTAAGGTCCCTCAACCTTGATCCAGAGAAATTTCAGTCCAGAGAAAATTGGTCCAGAGAAATTTGGTCCAGAGAAATTTCAGTCTAGAGAAAATTGGTCAGAGAAATTCTGGCCCAGAGAAATTTCTCTGGATCAAATTTCTCTGGATGAGTTTCTCCACTTTTCTTCTCATTCACATCCAAATCATTGTGATTCATTAGGTAAGCAACATTGTTCAACTGAATTCAACTGGAAAAATTCCACATTGTAATATATAAGCAACATTATAATGGGATAACAATGGCAACTTACCAGAATCAGAGAAATTCTGGAAAAATCTGAGTATTTCTCTGGTTTGTTATTGAAATATCAATTGAGAATTTCTTTGGTTTATTAAAAATAATAATTGAGAATTTCTCTGGTTTATTAAAAATAACAATTGAGAATTTCTCTGGTTTGTAATATCTGGAAAAATTTCCGTAACTTACCCAAATCTGTTCTTCGCTTTTTTCCAGTTGAATTTTTCAATCGAAAGTGTTTCTCTATTGAACAATGTTCAACTGAATTTAACTGGAAAAATTTCACATTGTAATATGTAAGCAACATTAGAAGGGATAACAATGGCAACTTACCAGAACCAGAGAAATTCTGGAAAAATCTGAGAATTTCTCTGGTTTGTTATTGAAATATCAATTGAGAATTTCTCTGGTTTATTAAAAATAACAATTGAGAATTTCTCTGGTTTATTAAAAATAACAATTGAAAATTTCTCTGATTTGTAATATCTGGAAAAATTTCTACAACTTACCCAAATCTATTCTTCGTTTTTTTCCAGTTGAATTTTTCAATTGAAAGTGTTTCTCTGTTGAACAATGTTCAACTGAATTCAACTGGAAAAATTCCACATTGTAATATATAAGCAACATTAGAAGGGATAACAATGGCAACTTACCAAAACCAGAGAAATTCTGGAAAAATCTGAGAATTTCTCTGGTTTGTTATTGAAATATCAATTGAGAATTTCTATGGTTTATTAAAAATAACAATTGGGAATTTCTCTAGTTTGAGAATTCACCAGATTAGTTCCTTTCATTTACAAAAACATTTTGTGAAGACCAATCAAACATTAGCCAAAAAAACATTAGCCAAAAAATTCTATTTTCTGTCACCATTCGAAGCCGACCACTTAGCTTACTTGATTTTCTCAAGCTGAACCTAAGTATCCTTGGATAGCTGCATTCTCTCAACCTTCAAATGTCAACCACGACAGTTTCATTTTTTGAGCTTCACACCGCACACACACAGCTTCAACCCATGCACACAGTCACACACATACACGGCACACACACACCACAACACACAAATAACTAGCTATATCAACATTACCTCTCCAGAGAAATTTTCAATCCAGAGAAATTTTAGCAGCTTGGTTCTTTTCTGATCTGTCACTTATATACTGTATTACCTCCAGTTGCTGATCCATCCGAACAGCATTCTAGGTGAATCTGATTTTGGATCTTTCAATTCTCATGAATCTGTTTTTGCTTTGGAATTAGGTTTTGTTGGGAAAGATTTCAACAGGAGCCCAAAACGACTTGGAGAAGGTGACCAAGATGATCTATGCTCAAATGGCGATCTATGGTTTCAGTGATAAAGTAGGTCTTCTCTCATTTCCTCAAAGAGAGGACACATTTGAGATGACGAAGTCGTGCAGCAGCAAGACCGCTGCAATCATCGACAACGAAGTGAGAGAATGGGTGGCAAAGGCATACGATCGCACGTTACAGTTGATAGAGTAGCACAAAGAGCACGTAGCTCAAATCGCAGAGTCGATCGATGTGTCCCTGGCGGAGGAGCTGAGTGCAGGAAGAAGAGCAACTGGTCAAGGGTTGGGGATTTGAAGCCAGCGGTGATCAAGCTCAAGACAACATGGATGGAGAGGGGATGGAGTGAGGGACCTTAGATTACAAAAGAACAGATTGTGAACCTAATCCATTACTAAAAGTTGGATAAGGACCTTAGACCGATTTTCCCTTGATTAATAGAGGGCGCAGAAATTACAAATTTATATTATATTGGGCGATTAAAAATAGTGTTGCTATATATATTAATTACTCCAGTATATTAATTAATATATTAATATTAGTTATGATATTATTATTGACTCCATTTATTATATAAATTATAAGTATCAAAAAATTTTCAAATAATATCATATCATCAATTGGTATATTAATTAGTACACAAATTAATATATATAGCATTATTTATTAAAAAAAAGTAAAAAAAAAAATAATGTTATATGTATCAATTAGTGTAGGTGCACCAATTGATGATATGACACAATTTAAGATGTTTTTTGTATTGATAATTTGTATAATAAGTGGAGTCAATAATAATATCATAACTAATATTAGGACAAATTACATATACCCCTCGAGGTTTAGTAAAATTACAGATACCCCATGAGATTTGAGAAATTACAGATACCCTTGAAAGTATTATTTGCATAACAAATTAGGGATAAAGTGTTATGAAAATATAAATATCAGTAGGCAATTTGCCATGAAAATATAAACCTCTAGAGGTATCTATAATTTTCAAAACTTCAAGGATATCTGTAATTTAGCTAAATCTCGAGGGAGGTATATGTAATTTGCCCTTAATATTAATACATTAAGGTCATGTTTGTTTGGGTGGACATGAGCTTGGAATTGGATTAATAGTTCGATAAAATTATTAATCCGATATTTGGTTAAACAATTAAACTACGGACTAATTATTTTAAACTTCACTATTAGTTAGGATAGAATATATAATTAAACGGATTCATAATGCTAAAACTATTAGTCATTCTCATGTTAATCCAGTCTGCCCAAACAAAAATGACCTAATTGAACCCCCAAAAAAAAAAAAAAAATGAATTTACATGATAAATTATTCTTGACTACTAATGACAGTCTGTAGAATTCCCGAGGGTGGGAATGGGAAGAAGACACAGAACAGAAGAAGTGATCTCGTCGATCGGGGACCGTACTGTTGTCCTCCACCACACTACTTTCACCGAGTCTGAGACTAACCAAAAAGCACATACCATATAGGCAATAATGTGCTTCTAGCATTATATATATATATATAGAGACAGAGAGAGAGAGATCTGTTACTCTTTCTCTCTCGACATGGCTGAGAGGAGAGGTAACAAACGCACTTATATTCCAATCTCTTCTTCTTCTGGAGACGAAGAAGAAGAAGAAGAATCGGAGTCAGAAGAATACGATGACGATGACGAGATTGAGGAGACCAGCGCTTCAACATCAAGGTACTTCTCTCGTAGATTCAATTTTGCATTTTTTCATAACCTATATCGTGATTCGTGTTTATATACTTTTGTATGATATGTATTTTATCGAAGCGGTGATGATGATGATGAAAGTGGGAGTGAGTGGAGTGATGCCAAGAGGGATGAACCCGATGATGATGATGATGATGATGAGGAGGAGGAGGAGGAGGAGGATGAAGAATCTTCCAATCTCGACAACGATGAGTCTCTCTGCAACAACGTCATCTGCCTCCTCCGAGGTTAGGTTTTTCTTTGATTCTTCATTAATTCATTTTAATCGTTTAATTAATTTATCCAATTATTTCATTCATAGCGAACTGAGTTACGCAATCTACTGATTGTCTCTGAAAATAAAGTTATTTTAGGCGTTTTGGTGGAAAATCTCATATAGAGCTGATTATTGTCTCGGAAACGATTCTATTTTACTCTTATTTTTTCCCTAATGCTCTATTTGGTTCATTGGATTGGAATGAGATGGAAGTCTACGGAACGATCATTCTTTTATAACGGTGGTGAATAAGGATTCCATTTGGGAATGGATATTTTGATGGAATGACTATTCCATTCCACTCCTATTCCAATGAACCAAACACCACCTAACTTTCTTGTTTGGTTTTGAAGCAAATGAACATGGAGTCATAGGATGCATGGAAAAAGCTAATGCTAATCCAGCATTCAAATACAGCAAACTTTTCATAAACATCATTTTTCACCTTTGTGTGTGTATTTGTGAAACACAATATGAGGTTCTTTCTTGAGTTCTCTCGCCATCTGTTCTTTCTTTTTTTTGGATGTTTGGGTGGGGGTAGTTGATGAATCTTAAATCTTTTCAAAAGCTTACTAGTTTGCAACACTAACATGTCACAGTATTATCATGTCATATCTATATATGTATATTGAATGAGTTGCCCTTGTTGTAGCTCAAGATGTTTCTTGTTTTCCGCAGAAAAGGGTGATTTGCAAGAACTAAAGCTAAAGGATTGCAAATCTTATTTACGGCAACATGGACTAAGAATAACAGGGACCAAGGTAGAATGTATACAGAGAATTATGGAGCGCTGGAGGTCAGTTGCTATGTGTCACAGAAAATTGCTTGCACCGTCCACTTAGCCCCATTGGATTTTTTATTTTTTTTGTTACTGAATTTGTATAAATATGTTACTTCTCTGATGGTTAAAACCTTCAGTGTTGAGGTTTTATGAATTCTTTCTTTTAACTTTCAATTTAGATTTGGTGAAGAAGTAATAGTTTTGGAAGGATTACTCCAACTAGGATGGAAAATGGCCAACAGCCAGCTCTGCCATGCACTCTAATAATTTTTTAGAATTTTGGGGCAAACTACTTAGATGGACACTAAAAGGGATACTGGGAACTGCATATGGCTGTCTTTTGTTTTAGAAAACAAGGAAATCAAACAGAGGTAGAAATTTTTTTTGAAAAGTCATTGAATGAAAATCATTTAGGGAACCTAGTTTTGGAAGAAAGCGGTAATAGAAGGATTATATATATATATGCAGAGTTAGGGAGTTCGAAATGAAAAATGTATTGAAGAAGATGAAACAGTGTGAGCTTTAGGACCAGATCTATTGCGGTGAAAGTGCCTAGAAATGTAGGTGTATCTTGGTTAATGGAACTATTTAGTAAAATTATAATAGCTAGAAAAATGGTTATGAGTGGATAAAAAGTAATTTAGTACCTATATATAAAAACAAGGGAAGGGAGATTCTAATTGGTATTAAGCTTTTGAGTCATTCTATAAAGCTGTGAGAGATAGTGATTGAGCATAGATTAAGACTTAAAACAACAGTATCAGATAATTGCATGGGAGGTCAATAATGAAAACAATTTATCTAATGAAAAGGTATAGAAAAGAAGAAGAAAGATCTTTATATGATTTTATTGATCTTTGAGAAACTCTATGATAGGGTCCCTAGAGATTTGGTAGTTCTAGAGAGACATCACAAATAGATATATCAAAAATGATAAAAGGCATATATGATGGAGTTATGATTGTGGTGAGTATAGCCAAAGGAGAACCTACTGGTTTTCCAATTATTGGATGTTTGTATCATGATTTGCATTAAACTCTTATCCTTTTGCATTAGTTATGGTTGATTAGACATGTACAAGATGAGGTACCATGGTGTATAATATTTGATAATAATGTTTTAGTATGTGAAACAAAAGTAGGTGTAAATGCTAAGCTAGAACTTTGAAGAGAAGTTTTGTCATCAAGAAGATCAAGAGTGTTTAAAATAAGTAAGACTAGAACTAAATTTATGGAATGCAACTTTTGTTAAAGCTGATAAATGTGAGGGTGGTTAGTATTGAAGGCCCAAAAATGAACATATTTTGCTTGCTATTAACTTTATGTAAAGAAGTAAAACTGGATGGACTAAGTGGAGGATGCTTCAGGTGTCTTTCGTAATTGACAGATACTCATGAGATTAAAATGAAAATTTAACAAGACGGTTATAAGACCAACCATGCTTTAGGGTTGGGAGCAAACAAATTCGTGAGATGGTAGAGGTAACAACTATTGAAGATAAAATGAGGGATACAATGGAGAAGTGTGCCCTAGTCAAGAAGGTGATAACAGAATTTATAAACCCTTGATAGAGTGTGTAGGGGGGTTCAAGGTTAGGAAGGTGATTAGAGAGGCAAACTATGTTAATGGTCCAACAATGGTAGAAGTGGCTGGAGAATGAGTAGCAGCAACTATCTGGGAGTTGGAGAGTGTGTAGCTGGTGAGAGTGAAGCAAGTGGCTCAAGAAAAAATGTATGGCAGTGCCAAAATGGGCAACATCTCCCCAAAATCCCCAAAATTTCTCCCTTTGAACCTTGGGGAATGGGTCCTATTTATAGGCTTTTCCTTGGTGCCAAGAGGACACCAAGTGGCCAAATAGAGAGAAGACATGTGTTCCAGAGGATCACATGGAATATCCTACCTTGAGCCACCAGGATGAAGGTGCCACGTGTCCCTCTGCATGTACTGTATACTATCTATTTTCCTCTGCAACTACCTTTATGAGCCTCAGCAAGTGTAATTGCAACAAAAGTGTTTGGCGCTGCAACTCCCTTTTAAGCCTCAGCAAGTGCAGTTGCAGTGGGAGTGTTTGCCTTTGTACTTGCCTTCTCAGCCTGAACCTCAGCAAGTGCACTTGCAGCGATGAACCTTGCCGCTGCACTTCCCTTCTCAGTTCTATTTGGCCAGTACATGTATTCTCAGGACTCCATTAGCCTACTATCGGCTATATTTGTGTTCACCTTAGTGAAACCTTCACTCTTAGCCACCTAATCACAAACTCACAGCCAAGCCTGCTATCAGCCATATTGTACCTTAGTACCAAGCCCATGGGGGCTTCCTTAGTCCTGCCTGTGCAACTAAGGCAGGTCCATGACCTGGGTAATAGAAAAGGAGTCCCGTATATTCGGGCTACCCTGCTCTCATCTTTGCGGGATCGCCGCGGTAAACTGGTATCTCTGGGCCTGCTATCAGCTCCAATCAATAAGTCTTGGGGCCTGCCATCAGCGCTAAGTTAAATGAATTTTGGAGCCTGCTATCAACCCTAGGTTAGTAATGCCTTGGGGCCTGCTATCAGCATCAAGCATTAGCCTCTACTTACAGAGAGAAACCTCTCAAAAACTTCTATCACCTTGGCAAGATATTCTCTCGGCAACTTAGTTGCTGCGGTAACCATTTCCCGCGACGAGTTCAGACGACAAGACCGACAATATTAGAGATGGCGGCACCGACGGAATGCCTCTGTAACTTGGGCGTTGTAAGTACTGCCTCTGCAACTTAGTTGCATGGGCTTTTTCTTTCCCTCAGCAACTTCGAATGGCGGCAGAACCAAAGATATTAGGAATGGTAGCGCTGAGGCAAAGAGCCTCAGCAACTTTCCCGCTGCATGTGTTACCGCTGCAACTTGACTTAGGCATTTTCCTTCGTAGAGTCCATTTGGACCCTTGGCGGGTCGGACCTGCTTCGGCCCACTGTTGACTCACTTCCCTTGGGTTTTAGCCCATGCTCCTTCAGTCATTCCTGGTCGCCTTAAAAGGGAGACCCCAGCGCTTAGGTCCATACTTAATTTGGGGTTTAATTTCTGACCCTTTGCAGAGTGAAATTGCAAAACAAGATTTGACTCCATGTAGTTGAGAAAAGGGTTAGTTCAGTTGAGTTGTTTTTTATTAAATGTCTTTTTTCTCAAATAATATTGTCATTTTCTACAAGTGCACATCTTGTGTTATTAGAAGTTTGCTTTTCCTTAGATCACTTTTTTGTATTATTATTAAATTATTCTAACTTAAGAAAGTTTGAAATCATTCATGCCTTGATGATTTATTTTGGCTTCTATCTTTGATGCTTATGTTGTGTTCTTTTTACACTTGTTTGACTCCTCCTCCCTACACCTGACAAGTATGTAGTATGGCTGACAGGCTAGTTGGAGGAGAGATTGGAGGAGTTCTAAGAGTTGTTCTTTTGGGCATGGGTATTGTGGGTAGGTGAGGAAGACATTCTTGGCATAAAAACGGAAAGAGGCTTGGCGAGGCATTATTTAGCTTATTTAGTGATTAACACTTAACTTACACAGGTATGAATGTTGTTTGTCGAGGCTTTATATAGGGGGAGGTCACACCAGCTGGGGGGGCGCTATATATAATATTACTAGCGCCCCCCTGTTGAAATTGTACCCGTTAGGCAATTTCATCCGTTGATGGACGTACGGATGGTGACGTGTAAGGCGGAGATTAAATCCGTACTCACACCAAATAGTAATCACTATTTGGTGTGAGTGGTGTGAGTAGACGTGGCCATCTCCTGTCCACCCACGTGTCACGATCGTGGTGGTTTTGCTTGGATATAAAGCAAAGGTGCACAGAATTCCGCGTGAATGAACAGTAATGGGCAGGAATTCAAATTTTAAATTCCGAACCTCCGTATTTACAGCTGTCTATATATCTGGGTCCAGCCTCAGATATTTGTCGGTGGAGAGAGATAAGAGAGATATGCTTTTGCAGTTGGAGAGTTATTACACTGAGGTGATTTTCTGGTACCTCGTTTCGTCCCTCCTTTTCTTTCTGTCAATTTTGTCGATTTATTTGGTATACAATGTTGTACTCCTTAGAAGAGTATCCCGAGAATTACGGGCAGTTCACTCAAATGTGTGTAGATCGCTTTTTGACGTGGCAACTAGGACTGTGGGAAGAGAGCCGACGGAGAGCTCCGGTGAAGTTTGTTCCGGTGTACGAAAATCAGAGGGCAAAAATATCAAAGCTAAGGTGTCTGAACAGAAGGGTTAGCAGAGGTAACAGATACTGTAGAAGTGTTCGTATAAAAGATTTGGAGTTATTTATAAAAAATGAAAGGAATAGGAAGCAGCCATTACCGGACCCCCCTTGCGTATCGGAGGTCAAGGACACCGGCGGCCAGTGGATATAGGTGTAGTTACCGTAGTCGTGCACCTTTTAAGACCCAGTATGTTCGCAGACGGTACGTTCAGAATATTTTCCGATTTATTAAGAAGACTAAGAGGGGAGTAAGGAAATTACAGCTATACGATGAACAATTAAGGGACGTTAAGTTTGATAATAAAGGCGTGGTGAGATTACTTAATGGTATTGAGTTGGGTAATAAGAGATCTGACCGTCAATCAGACAAGATCGTGGTTAAGGGTATCAAATTCATTGGTAATGTTCAATTGGGACAGGATGCTAAGGGCGAAGCTGTGGTCCACCACGTGTTGTTTTTTGTCATCAGTGATAATAGTCCGTCAGATTCCGTCCCTACACCTGACAAGATATTTATTTGAAATCTCTCTAGCAGCCTACTAAATTCTTCATTAATTCGGTAGGGACTATCGAGTATTTGATGTCGTCTATCACGTTGTAGACGGCGTCTTGGTCGTAGTCCTTGAAGCATATTCTGCCGGAGAAGTAATTGTGTCGTCCGAGACTTCTGGCCCAGGCGGTTTTGCCTGTTCTTGAGGGTCCTTCGAGGTAGAGGGAGATTGGGCGGATGGACCTCTGCTCTGGTTCCTGTTATCAGAGGAGAAGGAGAGTTTTTCGTCAGTATATAAATTGTTTATATTATTTTTGTGTATCCCTAATCTAAGGAAATCGTCTTCCCTCCAAATGGAAAGACAACAATTTTGACATAACTCGTACTGAACGCAATTTCGGCTTACAAACAAAATATTATTTTCTGCCCATTTTTTTACTTCTTCATTTAAGAAAGGAAATGAATTAAAAGGGCTAGTATATGGGGGCCTCTCTCTTTTGTAATGATCCCTGAAAAATGTTTTTAATTGGGGGTATTTTGTGACGTAATCGGTCGGACATTGCGTTGCTTAATTTATTTTCTCAATTGAGGTTAAGATACAAACAAAAAAGTATTAAGGTTGATAAAACATTGATAAAATATTCCCCCCTTTGCGCACCCAATGCTAGTCCCATACTATGAATTTTTTTGTTGAACTTGCATACTACGAAATTAGTACTATTTTTCCTCATTCAGGTCCTGGTTGTTTCCATTGGTGCTCCTTTTCCCTTATATATATATTTTTGGGCCTCTTGTGTGTTGTTTTTACCTCTCAGTTCAACTTTTCCACTCTCGACATTTGCTCCAGCATCTATGATACTTGCAGTCTCACACATCATTTTTTTTCTAAGCAGCCTCTGAAGCCTAAATTTGAAGTTACCACACTTTGTATGTCTGTTGTTCAAATTACCTCAAGGTCTACTGTCTCCTGTTCTTTTTATATCCATGTGTGACAATAACCCAAGTCATATAATAAATATTTAATTAACAAAACCATATTTGAAGTCTTGAATTGTTACAGGTTTGTACTCTTTCAAGCCTAATCAATTGTGCTCTCTACTTTAGTCAAGCAGTATGAGTTTTAATTGTTGAAACTAAGCTCTTCACTGTTAACATGTTATAATGAAAAGATAAGTGATTTCTACAAGGGTATTAATATCTTTTGTAGCTTTATACTATTTTTGCATAAGAGTATCCTTATCGTATGATTTTTACCCCTCAGGATAAAAGATGGAAATGCTGAATCACTCTATCCTAGATCATCCTTTGCCATCAATTGTACTGGTAAAGGTTTATTTACGTGCATTTCTTTTGAGTGCACTATTTTTGTTCACTTCGAGGTGGTTTTGAAAATTTAAAGCTTCTTTGATTCTCCTTTCAGGTGATGTCTGCAAAGGAGATGTTGTTTTGTTTACACAGAAAGTATACAAGAAGTAACTCACTGGTTTCAGCTCTTGTTTTCCTTCTGTATATGAATCTCTTGATTTCCACCCTAGTTTGTAAAACATATTTGCTCGGTAAATGAAGGAGCTAATTTCGAACAGGTTTATATCCAAACAGGTTTGATAAAATGACAAGGAGCGGAAGTTTTCTTGGAAAGAGAACTATTGCTGGGAGAGTTGTTAAGGAAAGCTATGGTGCTGCCAAACAACAACATACATTTACAGTAAGTTGGGACAGGTTGAGGAATATATTTTTGGGGTGATATTTGAGCTGATTAGGGGCTAGAATTCATGTTCCGCAATGTGGTACATATTCTGGCCAGGGCACGTTTGTTATGTATCACACCCAGGATATCAGCATGTCTCTCGTTATTGCTCTCCCTTACCTCTTGATGCTTTCTTGTGGCTTTTATGTGCTTTAGATTTCCAGTAACTTGTCCATTTATTACTTTGTGATTTTCAAGATTGAAGTACTATGGAGCAAGGGGATTAAGAAATTGCCTCCACTTTTTCCTTTACTTGTTAAGGGCCGTAACCTCTACAAGTTGAAGACTTTCAGACAGGTGAGTTATTACTTATCGGAACAACAATTCTTTAATATTCTCTCGTTTAATGATTCTTACTTGCATGGTTTTCTGTCCCTATCCTTTTCTTCTTTTTTTTTTGTTAGCCTTGGAAGAATGAAAGGGAGAGACAGAAAGTCCTAGCTGAGAAACACCAACGAGGTGCAGCTGCAAGACTTGTGAGATCAATGAAGAAGACACAAAAGGCATGCTCTAAAAATAGGGGTATGGAGAGAGGGCAGGAGAGAAGAGTGAGGATTTTATTTGTGTTTTTGTTGTTTAGGTTGCTGCGACTAACTTCAGTTTCGATGACAATTAGGTGTTAAGCGACAGAAACAATTTCATCAATCAAGACCATCCCAAACGGGAAAGAAAACTGAACCGCAGAAAGGGAAGCATAGTGTTGGACGTGGCAAGGCTCCAGAAAAACATACAAAATCCAATAATCATCGTCGAAAGGCCCCTCCAGCTGGAAGAGCAAACTTGAAGAAAAATCCGAACTCAAGAGCTCCTAAAACTTCCATGAAGTATCAAAACCCTACTCATCCTAATAAAGATGGAGACCAAACGAGACAGTCATTCGTTTGTTATCCCCAAAATTTTCACCAATCTCAAATGCAGTTGCGCCACCACCTCCAGTGGAGTGCACCTTTACACATACCTAGTTATGAGACAGGCTCTACTTCATCTACTATGAGGTTTCCTAATTTCAGGCCTTATTTGGATCCATCTGGTATGCCTGTAACACAACATCAAGGTTTGTATAGAGGCTCTTACCCTCACCGTGCATATCCACATCCAAGCCATGCTTTTGAGTCCAGGAATTTGAACCGATCTTCAGATTTGAGAACATTTGTGGACTGTCAAAACCATTTTCCATGGGGAAGGTGGCATACGGACAGAGGTGGAGCTTTGTAGAATGGGTAGTCAGAGAGCTTCGTTGTTAATACCAGTTAAAAATGCAGCACTTGGACCGGGAAATGCTCAGTGTACCAATGGAATTGGTTTTTAACATTCAAATCTTTGCTAGGTACACCTCTCTCTCTCTCTCTCTCACACACACACGCGTGCGCACAGAGAGTTACATGGTATACCAACAGCAATTGGGAACTACAATTATATTAACTGTTTTGGATATATTTCCAGCTACAAATTGTGTATTATATATATGGGAGAGGCCGCTTTGCTGAAGATGGAGTCGTCTGAAAAGTGGTTTTGTGACTTTTTCTTAAAAACCACAACAGAAAACAAATTTTTAATTTTTTTTTTCATTCTTGGAACTGATATTGCCGGTAAAAAATGAGATTTTACTTGTACAAGTCAAGAACAAAATTGTTTTGTCATTATTTTTTTTTTTCTTTCCAGATGAGTCCTTCCTCTAACCCCACACCGCAGTGATCTTTTGTTGGTCCAGTATGCTAGTCACCCATCCAATAGTTAAATAGTGTTTAAACTCTGTTTGATTTCTAAATGCATATATAATACTAAAATTTTAGAAAATCATTTAGTGTGTTTGATTTTAATTTTCTAAATTCAATTTTCTAGAAATCTAGTTTTTTATTTTTCGTATTTTTTTATTTTTAGTGAATGTTTTTAAAATTTTAATTAATTTTTCTACTTTTTTAAATATACCTTATTTAGATGTGTCTAAATAGTAAATATTTGTAAAAATATATTTTAAAAAATTAATAAATATATAAAAATATGAAAAATATACTGAATTTTTGTATTTTTATATATATATATATATATATTTGGTATGTAGTGATTTTTTTTATAAAAAAAAATCATAAATATTATATATTTTAAGTGTATTTGTGTTTAGTGTGTCTAAAAATTAAAAAAAACATTTGAAATATTAAAAAAATTCAATAAAAATAAAAAATATTTAATCTCTAAGGGATTGTTTAGGATGACTTAAATAAATATATTTTTTGTCTTTTTATGAAAAGATGTGTAAAAAAATAGAGAAATAATATAATAAAAAAAATAAAAAAATAAATTATTTTGTGTATATCACGCCTAAAGTCTGTCTCTCGTATTCAAAGTTTGAAAACAACAAAACCAATCATCAGTCATCTCATTTCATAGCTCACACCAAACTTTATGGACCCCGCCAATGTCGGCATTTATTCACCATCAAACGCCATGACTCAGCTGACACGTGTAGAGCTATTTCCTCACTGCTTAAAATTGTCTTCAATTTTTTTTTTGAAAAATATTACAGGCATTAAATTTTTACTAAATAAATAATTAAATATCTCATAGATGTAAATAAATAACTAAATATCTATCTAATAAATAATCAAATGTCTCATTAATTTATTGATTCAATAAATTAATAAAATATTAGATGATATTTACGGCAACAAAAAAAATAGAAAAACTAATAAAACACTACCCTAAATAAATAAACACAAAGACTAATCCTTATGTTTCTTCTGTGATTTGTCTGAATTTTTGTTACTATTATTATGAACTATATCTGTAACAAAGTTGTAATTTTTTAAATTTAATTATATAAATAATTAATTTTTTATTTTTATATTTATATGACATTATATTATCCCTTAATTTTGAAGTGGAAAAATAGTATATAAAGACGACCAGGCTTGTGTGTCCTCAATTGGGACACGAAACCCTTTTACTATCCATGCAACCCTTGCCCCCACACTTACCCTCCGTGGGCCCTTCTTAATTGTTTCCCTCCCTCGAAAAGAAAAAAAAGATCATAACATACTCAACCCAAGTCAGATTGCTTCTCATCTCTAATCTCACAATTTAAATATTTAAAATAAAATATGCAGAAAAATATTTAAAATTTTACAAATCTAAAGTACACATTTTAAATCATGTTTCAAATTATTTTTTTTTCCTTCTAAACACATAATATTGCTAAAAATGTAAACCATAAGCCTGCAATAGGAATCAACTACTAACAACAAATTCCAACATTAATAACATTACATTCATTTGCTTTCTTCTAAAGAAATCTCCCAAATCCTCATCACTCAAATATTATAACTATGTCTAGGAGCACAATAAATCAATTATAGAATTGGACACAATTATCTCACGTAAGGTGAATCATACCTTTTTATAGGTCCTATGCTTGTGTTGTGTTTAATTCTGTAATTGGTTTATGTACAAGTAAAACAAACTTAAAAGTTGATTGAAGTAGCAATAGGGGATTCTAGATAAATCTGGAGTTGCAAGGGCGAAGGTCAATCTCTTGGGTCCAAGCAGTTCGGTCCTGAGTGTGCAATTGCCAATAGGTCTGAGCCAGCGAATCTGGGTCCATACACCCCTCCTCTCCTCCTACACTTTGTTGCTGCTGCTGTTGTTGTTCCCTAACCAACAGCTGTTGTCGCGATGTTGATGGTGCCCTGGAACAACTCCACAGTAGATATCAATCCCTCATTCCCCACACCATAGATCAAATTTATTAGCTAATCATTTCTTGGGTTGCACAAATTGTTCTTCAATATTATTAGTCTCTTAGCAGATAATGACAGGATATGTGGTGACCTTTAATTTTGTTTATGGAAAATGCTAATCACCCTAAATTTTAAAAATTTAGAATATATATTTTATTATTTTATCTCATCGCTCATCTATGTTCACACAATGAATGATATATTTATTTTTTTTGATATATCGGAAATGAACACAATAAATGATATGTGTATATATATAACTTATCATATTTTAAAAATGATGTCGCATGAGAAACTATTTTAGTGTCTCTAAGAAGTAATTGAGATTGATTGAGGGATGCATCCGCTGCCGCTGCCAGGCACACACTATACTATACTATAGGTGATTGTGTCATATAGTGCTATCAATTTATTTAACATGTTTATATCTATATATATATATATATATATAAAAGAAAGATAGAAAGAAAAGTGAGATTCTGGATCTTGAGGAATCTTATGAGTTGTCAGCTGCATACTGGAACACTAAGGGCTGGTTCGGCAAGATTCAAAAAAATTAAAAAGTTAAAAAGTTATTATTCTAATTAAGTCATATCATCTTATTTAAGTTATATCACCTCTCTAATCCATCATTTCAAACCCAACCCAAATCCAACCCATATTTCATAAAAAATCAAAAAGTACACTTATTTAAATCATTCAAAACAACCCCTAAATAAATATAACTGGTATATATTACTATTTTATATCACTTCTTATATAAATAATTAACATTGATTTTTTTGTTGAATGATAATTATTGAAAATATTAAATAATATATTATCATGTAATCTAGAGATTAAAAAAAAAAACCTGGGTGAGGCGACGATGCCATGGATGATAACATGCGCTACGTGTACACCCAGAGGTTGAAACTCTGTCGCCAGGCATTGTGACAAAGCTCTCAACGCAAACTTACCGCAACCTGTTATCCCTCCCAACGTAGAATCAGAATTAATAATAAAACTATTCAGCATTATTTGACTCTATCTATCAAATCGTGTATGATTGTAAATGAATAAAGTGAAATTTAAATTACATAATTCGGAATAACCAGCAATGCCATTGAGAGAAGCCGAACAGCCTGTGAAGAGTATTGTCCCTCTTCCCCTATCGACCATGCCCGGAAGTACCTTTCCACGCCAAACATTTGAATTCAAGTTCCCAAATTAGACTTTGTTTTTGGAATTCAAGAGAGAGCGAAATGGGAAAACAAAAAAGCACCTGCTGGGCGCAGTGGAAGGCGCCGACGGAGGAGACGGCGATGGATTTCTCGAAGGCGTCGACGCGAATGTCGGTGAAGTTGGTTGGGTGGTTGTTGTGCCAGACTGGCTGGTACGCATTGTAGACAAGCACTTCCACGAACCCTAGGGATAGCACTCCTTCGAATGCCTCTCTCACGCTTCGAGAGTCGGAACAATCGATTCTGATTGCGAACACTTGCCCTTTCTCTTCTCTGGCTATTTCCTCCGCAAATCTCGATAATCTCCCTGTGAGTTCAGTACGAATTGAATTAATGGAGAGAAAGAACGAGAGAGAGAGAGAGAGGGAGAGAGGGGTTACCGAGGTCGCGGGCGAGGATGGCGACGGTGTAGCCTTCGTGAGCGAACTTGCGAGCGATGGAGCGGCCGAGGGCGGGGCCGACGCCGACAATGGCGGCGATGCCTCTGGGGGAAACGGAGCTGGCCATGCTGCGCATCTTTTTGGAGTCGGCAATCAAAGGGAGAGAATTTTGAGTTCAGTGAGAGAGAAAGAGAGAGCAAGAGAGAGAGAGAGAGAATGTAGAGAAAACTTTAAAGCTTGGAGGTGGACGGAACTGCGGGGGGCTATGTTTCTGTTCCGTCGCTGTCCAAAGTTGAAGTTGATGCCTCCCAAGCTAGAGGCAATCAGAGACGTGTCTAAAGCCTCTCTTCAATTGGGGCTGTTTTGTAGGATGTGATTATAATGAGTAATGATAGAAATTTTATTTTTTATTAATGTTTTATGAAAAATGAGTGAGGCGTCACCCTTACAACCTTCAGAGAGATCCACATTGATGTGTGAGGCCCACTTATATATATGTGGAGTCTACATCATGAATGGTGTGAATTACTATGAGGGTTGTAGAGTCCTTCAAAAAGATGTCTCTATCATTACTCATGTTTTATATGGATGTAATTTTCACGTAAGACTTATATGGTATGGGTTCCATAAGAAATTTGATAAAATTTTCGAGTGTCTATCATTTTTCTAATTTTATATTAATTAATATATTAACGGATGATATGAGATAATTTTAGTAATTTTGAATCTTTATAATTTGTATAATAGATTAAATCATAGTTTTAAAATGACAATATCATAATTATGTTGGTACACTAACTATTTTACTAATTCATGCGTGTAGCACAACCAGATTATAATTTATTTGGGTAAATTACACTGTCCTTTTTTAAATTTGGTCACTTTTTCACATATTTTTTTTCCTTTTCATTTTGGCACTTTATCTTTTAAGTTTTTTTCAATTTATTTCTAAAATTAATTTCTATTAAAAATTAGACAAAAAATGATATATTGACAGTCGCGTGTCATACAAATATTTTATTATATATAACTCACATCTCTAACTTAAACTTAAACTTTAATATAATAACATTTTTTTATATTATGTGATAGTTATTATGGTATTTTCTGTCTAATTTTGAACAGAAGATAGTTTTATGAGTAAATTTGAAAAAACTTGAAAAATAAAGGACGAAAGTGGAAAAAAAAAAATTGAAAAGCCAAAGTAAGAAAGTGGTCAAAAAAGAGGTGAAGCGTAATTTACTCAATTTACTTTAATTTGAGAGTTTGGTAGAAATAACTTAAATAATTTAGAAAAAAAATTAATTATTTAAAAGTTAAAAAAAATAGTGTTTTTAATGATTACTTCTTGATTATTCTCTCCCCTAATCATCAAATTAAAATTTAGTATAATACTAATACTGATAATGTGATATTTTTAATTAATAATAATAAGTTTACGGGATTTTTATTGATAAGTCCAATTTAGAAGTGTTTTAACCCAAGAAGTCCATGAAGGAATTTTTTAACTCATTTAGTCCATGTATGTATAGTTTTATTCCATAAAGTCCATTTTCCTGATTTACACTATTTTCTTGGACACTTATGCCCTTATATTTAATTTTGATACCCTTATAAATATTTTTTCAACGATTAGCAATTTAATGATGTGAACATTCATATTTTAAAATTCACATTTGTAGGAATGTAAATTGGCCCGTGGGCGGCCCGAAACCCGCCCGCGAGCCAGGGCGGGCCCGGCCCGTTGACAATGTGAATATTCACATTGACATGTTAAAATTCATCACTTTTTCACGCTCCAACGGTTGCACCAAAGTCATACCAAAATGAGAATTCAGCAAACAAGACATCAAACTGAGATCAAGACACAGATTTTACCAAATCACTGTTACTGACCGTTGAAAATGCTACACCGGTCGACCAACCGGTTGCCCGGCCGGTTGACCAACCGGTCAACCAGTAAATTATTCAGTAGAAGAACATGGGTGATGCGAGAGGCATACCTGTTGATCGTCAAGGTCCAGAGAAGCTAAGAGCGAAGGGTCTGAGATACTAGAGAGAGAGTATTGGAGAACGGAGAGAGAGAGAGAGAGAGAGAGAGAGAGATGAGTTTAAAAAAAAAAAAAAAAAAAAAAAAAAATTTTTTGCCTAACCGGTCAACCGGCCGGTCGACCACCCGGTTGTCCCGGAATAAATTTGGTGAAGGTGAACCGTTGGAGCCTGAAGTATCAAATTCAGGAAATGGTCATTTTTTAACTCAGATTTGATGAAATTTTTGATTCACCGTTGGAGATGCTCTAATAAGTTTACATATGATGAGAACTTTGTTACACGTACATAACAAATAGCAAGAAAGTATTGGAGGGTGATATTGGATTAGGTGATGTTAGCATTACACCTTTTTTGTTTTTGTTTTTGTTTTCTTTTCTTCTTTCTAATGATCAGTTATTGTTCAATCCTCTTGTATTAATGTTTTATATCATTTATTATTTTTTGTTTTTTTTCTTAAAACTCTACACAGAAAAGTAGAAGTTGAAGACCAAACTATTGAATAGCTTTTATTTTATTTTTTATCTGTACCTCGGATACCCTAAAATGATTTGAAACAAGCTTGATACCTACAATATATAAATTAACGGTAAATTACACTCATCTTTCTTAATATTAATTAATCTTATATTTTTTATAAGTCTATTTTTAAAAAAAAAATTATAAAGTCTATTTTCTTAAATTACATTTATCGTTTAATTTTTTAAAAGAAATTTGCTCTGATCAAATAATTGTTAATATTCAATTAATTAAATTTTTTTTTTATATGAATAACTTATCCATCAGCCTGACAAAATCAACGTTCACCGTGAAGCAGCAGATGATAGCTAAGCATTAATGATTGAATTTGAGTATATAGGACCAGTAAGAGAAGTCCTATCTCAATTTTATATTTTTATTTTTTGTTTTGAACCTTAAAAATACCTCTGTCCAAAATGGCCCATCTATTCTCTCAATAATAAATATCTGAATAGACTCTACTTTTCGATGAGAACGACCTCAGCAGAACAATGGTCCCCTGAAGAGAAAGTCAGGCCCGGGAGAATCGCAGAAGGCTTTAATATAAATAAAAAGCTGCAAAGGTCTTTTATGAATTTTATAGGTTTTTTTTCACTTAATGAGGATACGCGTAAGTACATATAAAATTCATCATATTATATAAATTATGAAATTTTTAAATTTTTAAAATTATATCATATTATCCGTTAATATATTAGTTAATATATCAATAATATACATAATTTTATCCATTTAAAAATATTGGGGAGTTTAGAACATTTTCAATGACTTTGTTAAAGAGCCACTAGGTGTTTGTTAGTAAGAGTATTCACATCAGTCTTTTCAAAATTTTAATCAAATTATAGCTAAAAAAGCTATTGTTGATTTTTTTGGCTTTCGAATGTTATTTTTGTAATTGTGAGCGTGCCAGCAAGAATCAATCAGTCCTTATAAAATATTAATTGCCAACCAATTATCAGACGATTGTGTTTTAGTTCTTTCAGCTTCAATGAAGAGGACTTTTACTTGTGGCTTTACTTAGGAGAATTAACTAACAATGATTAAATGAAGAACAATTACAGCATTTCATTAAGTAAAAATGAAAGACTTACAATGATCCAATTCAGCGTCGTAGAGGTTTGCAGCAACAATCTACTTAAAATTACTCCTATGAACGAAGTGCAGTGTAGGAATTTTAAAGTACAGCAATGTAAATAACAGAAAATGTAAAAACTGGAAAAGAAATAAAGTTGATAAAACTGGTTTTCTGGATCTGAGTCTGGGGGGTTTTCTAGGGTTTTCTCTACTATTTATACTTCTCAAGGATAACCATCGAACTGCATTTCTAACCGTCGAACTACTCCTCCATGATCGCTGATCATGTTGCCTTATAGTTAGCTTCACTATGCCAATACCTGCAGTTAGGCTTCCCTTCTGATTTTGAATTTAAACGTGAGTAACCATTGAAGCCACATCACTTTGTATCTCTTTGTTGATCCAGTACTACGCAGATCTTATGAAAACCAATACTAACTGCCACGTGTACGACCACGATCGAAGGTTTGAATTGTCTTCTCGTATTACCCTCAACCTGCCACACGTCGAACTGTGATTGGCCCGTATAAAATATATAGCCAACATTACCCCCCGCACTAATATAACCAATACTTGGTGATATTAGTGGATCAAGGTACTTTCCCACGTCTTAGAACGCGCATGGACTTTGCATTTTTAGAAACACAACCGTCATTCATTGATGAACATTTGCATTAACTCCTCTCCGATCCCTTAAACAAACTCACTATCTCAGTATTCAAAGAGTCCAATTCAGTTCTTATGGATAAACAAACATTTTCTTATCTCGATCAAGCATATGAAGAGTTGTTTGATAAAACCGTTCGTCCTTGAAGGAATCTTCATGCATTGATTAGCCACCTTTACCCACCTTCCTATATTCAAGTCATGGAAGCTTTTGCGAATTATCAACCTTTGGATTATGAACACACTGTCCACAATCCTTTGATTCAGAAATTTGTAAATATGGGCATGGGAAGTTCCTCTTCTGACTCAAAGCCTTCCGGGTGGGATGAAGCTGTAACTTCTTCCTCTTCTGGGGCTTCTGGTTGGGGAAGCTGGCCGGAATTAAGAGAGCGAGTCAAACATCATTTTGTTGAGTTCATTGACCCTCTAGAATTCCTTTCCGATGCTTGGAGTTTGGTGGTTTATCCCTGCGAGTATTATCCCTTCTCTTGAACTTCGAAACTTTCTGAGCCACATCATTAGCTTTATTATTCAAGAATCTTGGGACATAAGTTACATTTGCTATCTAAAATTGAGAAAGCAGATGTAATGCAACAACATAGTATAGCACCATACTTATACTTTGACATTTGAAAATCTCTTTCACCTGGTTAACTACCAATTGAGAATCTCCAAATATGTCAACTGCGTGAGCTTGTAATCTAATAAGTATTTTCAATCCCATTATTAAGGCTTCATATTCAGCTTGATTATTGGAACAAGTAATTCCATACACTCGGAAACCATGCGTGGTTTCTACTCCTTGTGGTGACTTAACTACTATGCAAATTCTAGTTAAACCATTGACTTTTGATCCATCGAACCACATTTGCCATGGTTCAACACTAGTCATACCAAGTTCCATTATCTCTGGGCTTTCTGTTGGACATGGATGGTCTGCCAAAAAATTAGCTAAAACTTGTCTTTTTATTGCCTTTCGGGGGATATATTCTAGATGAAATTCTGATAAAGCTAGTATCCATTTGCCAATTCTTCCCCTCAACATGGGTCTAGATAACATATTTTTAACCAAATCTGTGGTTGCAATTACTAAGACAGTTGTAGGCAAAAGATAGTATCTTAATTTCATTGCAGTAAAATACAATGCAAGGCACAACTTTTCTACAACTGAGTATTTACATTCACAAGAATTTAGAAACCTACTAAGGTAATTAACAGTTTGCTCCTTACCTTCTTCATTGTCTTGGGCTAAGAAAGCTCCCAATGAATCCTGTGCTGCAGCTATGTACAACTTCAAGGGCTTATCACCCTTTGGTGGCATCAGCACTGAAGGGTTGGCCAAATAGGCTTTGATTCATTCGAAAGCAGTTTGATGCTCTGCTGTCTACACAAACTCATCTTCATCTTTTAGCCTTAACAAGGAAGAAAATACTTTAGTTTTTCCCGCAATATTAGAAATGAATCTTCAAAAAAAATTAACTTGTCCAAAGAACTTTTGTAATTCTTTCTTATTTGATGGAGGTCTGGCTTCAATGATGGCTGTGGCTTTATTCTGGTCAATCTGTATTCTTTTCTTGTGTACTACATAGCCCAAGAAGTTTCCAGATGATACGCCAAAAGCGCACTTAAGAGGATTGAGTTTCAACTTAAACTTTCTCATTCTTTCAAAAGCTGCTTCTAAGTGAAACAAATATTTCTCTATGGATTGGGATTTCACTACAATGTCATTAATATAACACTCTAAATACCCTCCAATGAGGTCATGAAAAATAGTGTTCATAGCTCTCTGATATGTAGCCCCAGCATTCTTCAGGCCAAATGGCATTTTAACCCATTCGAATGTGCCAATATTCCTAGGACATCTGAATGCTGTCTTATAGACATCCTCATCTGCAATGCAGATTTGGTTATAACCAGCGTGCCCATCTATCATTGATAAAATTTGATGCCCTGCTGAGCTGTCTACCAACAAATCTACTATAGGCATAGGATACTCATCTTTTGGAGTTACTAGATTCAAGTTTCTGAAATCGATGCATATCCTCATTTTACCATTCTTCTTAACCACAAGCACAATATTAGATAGCCATTCAACGTACCTGGCTATCCTAATAAAGTCTGCCTTGAGGAGTCTAAGAATTTCCTCCTTAACTTTCTAAATCACTTCTGGACTCATTCTTCTTGATTTTTGCTTGTATGGCTTGAAATTAGGCCTCATAGGGAGCCTATGTTCCATTAATAATCTATCCAATCCTGATAGTTCATTATAAGACCATGCAAAACAATCATTGTATCTCTTTAAGACCACCAACAACTGGTCCTTGTCAAGAGCATTCAAAAAAGGACTTACATAGGTGGGCTGCTGTATGGAACCTTCCCCTAAGTCCACTTCTTCCAAGGGGTCTTGTATTTGAGAACTTACCGATGCTTCTTCTTTGATTCCTTCTGACTTCGAAGCAATCTCCTTGCTTTGTTTTGCTCCCAGCTTCTTTGATTCAACATCTTTACCCTCCTCCTCATAGACAAAGCCTGTCCACAAGGCTTCTTCCTCCTGTATCTCCTGGACTTTTGTTTCAATGTCCAAAGCACAATATTTATCTAAGGCAAAAAATCTAACCTGTTGCTGTTCCTTCTTACAATCAATCATCATGGCTTCTTTTTCTTGTTCTTGCATTTTCTGGACTATTGATTTTACATCCAATACTAAGAACTTAATTAGAGCCAAAGACCTGACTTCTTAGGTTTCATCTCTTTGCCTACAACCAGGCATCATTGTCATCCTTAACGACAAAATCTTCATCAGCACTCTCCTGGACCAAGTGCTTTAGATGTGCAAATTCCTTATCAGCCGTCACTTCGGCTGATCCATCAGGTTTTCTCAATATACTGATTGGTGCCACTCCTTCAGTATATAATTTGGCCTCTGCGAAATTTGCACAAGCTATGAAGGGTTGAGGATCTGCATTGATCTTTCTTGTTCTTGCATTTTCTGGACTATTGATTTTACATCCAATACTAAGAACTTAATTAGAGCCAAAGACCTGACTTCTTAGGTTTCATCTCTTTGCCTACAACCAGGCATCATTGTCATCCTTAACGACAAACTCTTCATCAGCACTCTCCTGGACCAAGTGCTTTAGATGTGCAAATTCCTCATCAGCCGTCACTTCGCCTGATCCATCAGGTTTTCTCAATATACTGAGTGGTGCCACTCCTTCAGTATATAATTTGGCCTCTGCGAAATCTGCACAAGCTATGAAGGGTTGAGGATCTGCATTGATCTTCTCCGTCTCTCCATTGCGCAAGGCCATCATGATTTTCTGATGTACAAAGGAAGGCACACATTTGTTGGTGTGAATCCAATCTCTTCCAAGTAAAGCATTATACTTAGCATTGTTGTCGATAACGAAGAATGCTATCATGTAGTCCATGGTTCCCACACTCAGGTTGATGGGCAAAATACCTTGGGCCATCTGTTTGTCTCCAGCGAAACCAGCAATGGCTGGACTGGTTGGGATTAGCCTAGGGTTCTTCTTTCCTAGTCTCTTCAACGAAGATTTTGGAAGCAGGTTTACTGCTGCCCCGTTATCCACCAGCACCCGATTCATTTGTATTCCATCGAAGAAGGCCTTGATATACAAGGGTTTGACATGCTGTGTCATGGACGTCGTGGGATACTCAAAAGAGTATGAGAGGTTAATACTTACCTCTTCCTCACTCTCGTCTTCAGTTTCTATTGGTGTGGCTACTTTGGATTCGTCTTGCACCATACTTACTTGTGAGTCTTCACTGGAGACTGGAATTGGGTCAATCTCCTGACCTTGGTTTTCATTTTTAGCTTGAAACTTCTGTGGTAATATAAGCACCATATTCACTGACACTGGAGGGAACGAGCCAAATTGGACGACTGGTTATACCTGCTTTCCTTCTTGGTCAACTTGTTCAATTACTTCAGAAGCGTCCTCCATGCTGCATTCTGGCACTTCTGTATTAGTAACTTCCTTCGAATGGTCTGTTTCTGTTGATTTTTCGACCAAAAATGTCTGTTTAGCCATGAAGACTTCAAACATTTCTTCATCAACCATCTCATTCCTTTGGCCTGGGACGACTTCATCTTCTATCTCATTATCACTTTCCATCAAAACTTTTTCCAATCCTATCAAGCTGGATCTTTCCTTGGCCTTTAGTTCATAATGAACTTTGGCCAACTGCTCCCTGCTACAACTCCTTTTGTCTGGAAGAGTCGATTTTAGATTATGGTCTAACTTTGAATATTCTTCTCCCTCTGCCTGGCTCTTTAGCTGAACCAACACTACTACAAATACAGATAAAGATCACACTTTTTTGGTGTGATGTATGTTTTTTAATCACACTTTTTAAGTTTTATTAAAGTGTGGTCTTTGGAAGTGTGATTAAAAGGGGTCATTTTTAATCACACTTTTTAAGTTTTATTAAAGTGTGGTCTTTGGAAGTGTGATTAAAATGGGTCATTTTTAATCACACTTTTTAAGTGTCATTAAAAAATACTTTCATCACATCTTTAAAGTGTGATTAAAAATATTTAGATCACATCTTTTAAGTGTGATTAAAAACATTTAGATCATACCTTTTAAGTGTGATTAAAAACATTTAGATCATAGTTTTTAAGTGTGATTAAAAATATTTAGATCACACTTTTTAAGTGTCATTAAAAAATACTTTCATCACATCTTTAAAGTGTGATTAAAAATATTTAGATCACATCTTTTAAGTGTGATTAAAAACATTTAGATCACACCTTTTAAGTGTGATTAAAAAAATTTAGATCACAGTTTTTAAGTGTGATTAAAAACATTTAGATCACAGTTTTTAAATGTGATTAAAAATATTTAGATCACACTTTTTAAGTGTCATTAAAAAATACTTTCATCACATCTTTAAAGTGTGATTAAAAATATTTAGATCACATCTTTTAAGTGTGATTAAAAACATTTAGATCACAGTTTTTAAGTGTGATTAAAAACATTTAGATCAGACCTTTTGAGTGTGATTAATAACTAATAAAACCTGTAATAAAAAAAATTGACATATTTGAAGAATAATCAATATTATTTTTATACGCGCATTTCAAGAATGTAATACACACTATATACTATACTTTGAATCACAACCACATATTGAATAGAATAACGTCGTACATTTTATAAATGAAAATTAAATATGTTCAAAAGTATATACAAAGGAATTAAATAAAAAGTTTTAAACCATACTTACATATATTAAAAAATGAAAAAAACTTAAAAAACTAAGTTCTTGAATTCTTTGACCATATTTTGTATCTCTCCAAGAATTTTTAACCTGAAAAATGAAAACAAAAATTAATTCAGAAACCGCTAAAAGCATATGAATAAACTAACTATTTGTAGAGATTGCTCTAGTCTTATAAAAGATAAAGTCCTACCGATCACACCCTTTCAAATGTCTTAAGACTTGGACAACAAGTATCATTTCTTATATCGCTGAAGGGAGGCAAAGATGAACTGAATGATGGAAAGTGGCCAGCAATCAATGAAGACAAGGTTTCACCAGTCCTCCACAAGCAGCAATTTGCTGACAGCACACAGGTTGTCATTTGTTAAATTCATCAGTACCTGCCACAAGGAGCATAGTATAAATGTTGACAATCATCACATGAATCACAACCACGTCAAACAGATTCTCAATGAAACACATTTTCAGCCACTTCATTGCAGATGCTCTCATCTTTTCTCCAACTTCTATATTTCAATATTCTATTTGACATAAGTAAAACCAATAATATAAAAAATATTTGGAACTGATGGGCAACTTATTAATGTTGTAATTTATCAAAGATATTTTGTTACAGGAAGGATCATGCTCTCTTATTCATTTTCTATTTTTCTTCCTCGAATAAACAACACACAATCAAATCTTAAAATCAATCAAGTTTCAAAGCAAAGCACACACCCTTGCGAATCAATTCAGAACAAAGTGGCTTAATGACAGCTGTTAATGTCACCAACTACATGTAAAATGATAAAATTTGTATGCTATGTTGCCTGTTGTCTTTATGTTGAAGTTCACACCAGTCACTGTTTGTTTATCTAGTGTTCTGAATCCTTTCTTTTGCGTATGAAGTTTATGCTCTTACTGGTGGTGGTGGTGGTGGTGGTTAAGTTTCTATTTTCCTATATACTTGTGTTACTCATTTTACTGTTGTTACTTATCAAAGAAAAAATTACTATAATAATTTTTTACAATAATTAGGCACCTTGGTATTAACAGGCCTTATTAACTCAAATTACTTAATACACGTTATGGGTAAATATCTAATTACACATGTTAGAAAAATACAGATTTGAGACAAATGATGAGTCATAAATACATTTTAATGAAAATTTTCGATATTCATAAAACAACTGAATAACATTAAATTGGGCATGGTTAAGTTTGAAAACATTAGGTTATGGTGTGCCAATATCAAAAAGGTATAAAGCCTTCCATCCCAAAAGACATTCCATCCTCCTATCACTAATTTCAATAAGAATAATGATACATAAACATAGTTTTTATATATGATTCTCATAAATTCAAAAATATCATTCATTTTCAAATCATTTTCCTTTCACTAATATTACTTAAACAAGCAGTAAGTAATAAAATAATAAAATGATTATTAGGAAAAGTTGAGAAAGAGCTAACCTTTGGCTAAAGGCTTTGAGACCAAAGGTGGGAAAGTTACTAAATCCACAGCCATCAGCAGCAGCAAAGAACCATTGAAAAAGTGCATTAGTAAAGCTACCACAGAGGGAATAGAATAGCATCATTACTTGTTTCCTGCATCCAAATTAATTAACTCATTAGCTCCCAAAAAAATTTTAAAAAATAAATAAACAAGATGCTAATTCTAATAATTTTCCCCTACCAGCCCTCACAACTTAAATTTTAAAAAAAAAAGATAAAAAGTAAAAGGAAAAATTGTAGATCAAGAATATGAATAAACCTAAATGTTAGAAGTCAATTGTTTTTGTTAGAAAAAGTGTGGTATAAATATTTCTTCTCTTTTTTCCTACATTATCCATAGAAAGGTCAAACTATTCATTGGGTGTACTCGACTAATCTCAAGACTCACGCAAAGCATTTCCTTCCATGCGAGTCAGGCAAATCTTCGACTATGCTCACAGGCATAGTCCCTGAGCAATTGATAGCACTCAATGGGAGGAGAAGTTATGTGGTGGTCTTGGGGCATGGCTAGGTAGTGTCCAGGAATATTGTGATTGGTAGAATGAGTGGAGCCTATAATTTGATCTACTTGAAACTACTCCTGTAAACGAAGTGCAGTGCAGGAATTTAAAAGTACAGCAATGTAAAGAACAAGAAATGTAAAAACTGGAAAAGAAATAAAGTTGATAAAATTGATTTTCTGGATCTGAGTCTGGGGGTTTTTCTAGGACTTTCTTTGCTATTTATACTTCTCAAGGATAACCATCGAACTGCACTTCTAACCGTCGAACTGCTTCTCCATGATCGCTGATCATGTTACCTTATAGTTAGTTCCATTTTGCCAATACCTGCAGTTAGGCTTCCCTCCTGATTTTGAATTTAAACGTGAGTAACCGTTGAAGCCACATCACTTTGTATCTCTTTGCTGATCCAGTACTACATAGATCTTATGAAAACCAATACTAACTGCCACGTGTACGATCACGATCGAAGGTTTGAATTGTCTTCCCGTATTACTCTCAACTTGCCACGCGTCGAACTGTGATTGGCCCGTACAAAATATATAGCCAACAACTATTTTACTATTTTAGTTAGTCACCTCTTTATTACCTACTATATCAAACTCTCTATTATAACTTAATCTTATTAAAATATTATTTTCTTATTGTGTTTGTTATTCTTTCATTTTTTGTTAAATTGATGGGTTACCAACCAAACAATTCTTAAATAATGCAAAAAAAAAAAATGGCCATTGACAGGTCGGACTTTCGGGCAGGCATCCGATAACACTAATTCCGTGTTGTAGCGATGAACAGTACCTCGCTTGTTGTAGCAAGGTACTGTAGCAATCATAAATTAGCGAGATATTGTGGCGAGACTGATGGACGTCCATTTTTTATGAAAAGTATCATTAATTTAGCTAAAAAATGATTTTAGCTAGTTTGATGCGAATGCTCTAACTGATTTAGCAAACCAACTATATTTTTTTAAAAAATACTAAAGATTTTAAAAATTCTACTAAAATTTTTATCAAATGTCTCACATAGTTATGAAAATCACATGAAACTTACATTGTGTGAGTTCTACATTCATATAAAATTTTTAAATCTCTAAAATTACTCTTTTTTTTTCTCCTTTAATAATATTATTGGCATTGTAGTTAATTAGTGTTTTTGCTATCTGTCTTGCCAACTGTAGTGAGCCAGTTAGCAAAGGTAGGGCAGGAATGAGTATAAAAATGGCCTGCAGTCTGAGACGGGCCCGACCCGTTTAGTCCCGCTTTGGCTCGGCCTATGGCCCAACCCATCAACCCGTTTAAGACCCACTTAAGGCCCGGTCCAAAACTCGGCCCGCGCCGAGGCCTAGTGTATTTTTTAATGAAAAATAATAAGATTTTGATAAAAAAAATAAATAGTCAGGCCCACCCTAGCCTAAGGCCAAGTCCAAGCCCATTGGGCTGGCTCGCCCAAGACCCGAATACCTATAGACTTGAGCCTGGGCCTGGACTTAATTTTTGGCCTATAGGCTAGCTCGGTCCAAATTTTGGTGGGGAGCTCGCGAGACCGGATATGGGCCTGGCCGGGCCCGGGTCAGGCCAGATTTACACCCCTGAAGAGAGAAAAAAGGGGAAAAGAGAGCAGATAAGCAATCGTGTACCTATTTCTCTCTCTTCTTTGGCTGATTTTCTAACCTTTTATGGGTTATAATAATATTACTTATATATACAAATACAATTACATAACACACTTTAATTATACTTTTAGATCGCACACTCACTCTTTAATCTAATAAACACTGAACACATATAAATGGGCATTATTTTTGAGAGGTTTATTAAAAATAAAAATTTCAAGTGTTTATATTTTAATTAGTCTATAAAATATTCCTGTATGTTAATAAGTCATATTATTTAAACAGTTGATTTGCTAAATCTTAATTCTCATATTTAAAATATTTTATGGACATTTATACCCTTACAAATATTTTTTGAACGGTTAGTAATTTGGTAATGTGAACATTCATATTTTATAATGTGAATATTCACATTGACGTGTGAATGTTTACATTGACAGTGTGAGCATTCACATTGACGATGTAAACATTCATATTGGCAGTGTGAATATTCACATTACGAAATATTTACAATGTAAATATGAATATTATTAAGAGTATTTTAGTAATTATATCATTCATAAGATTTATTGGAGTATAAAAAAATAATTTAGACTAAATAGAATATAAGTAGGTGAAAAAAAATTACAAAAAAATGTCTCATTATTTTTTTATACTTTTTATTATACGACACATTTTAATTTTTAACTTTACCACTGAAAATGGTCTTACAAAGTAACAAATTTAACATTTTTTATTCGTATGAATTGTCTCTATCATATTATTAAAGTGGTTAAGGTTTTGAATTTCAAAGTTTTATATCTATGTGCTACATTTAGTAGCAAAATATAATAATAATAATAATAATAAATTTATAAACTTTGTTAGTTTGTATAATATATTTTTTTAAATAAAATAATGTTATACAAATAGAAGAAGAAAAAAATGAGAAAAGGTGTACGATACGAAGTGGTTTGTATTTTGTCTATCAATTACAAAAAGGGTAAATTATATTGACATTCTTTGAAATTTGATCTAATTATATTTTATCTCTTGACATTCTTGAAATTACATTTTAACACCTGTAATTAATAGTCTCATATCACAAACTTCCTTCTTATACAAAAGACAATAATTCCTAATAAAAAAATAGAAGAAATTACATTTTTTAAAAAAAAAGTAAAGAAAAGGAAAGGAAAAAAAAAACAAAAAACAAATAAATAAAGGAAGTAAAACAAAACAAGAAAAGAGTGAGTGTGTGTGAGTTCAATGTCTTTATTTCGTCTAAATAATTACAATGATAGGGGGTTATTGTAATTTCTCAAACGTCAATGGGTGATATGTATTAAATCCAAACCTGAGGAGGTGTAAGTGTAATTTACCCTTTAAAAAAATATGAAGATAACTGTTAATTGTAAAAATATTACCGTCACATCATTCTGATGATAAATTTTATATAAATTTTCAATAAGAATAATTTTTCCTTTCTACTAGGTAGGGTTGTGCAAAATACCGCTTAATCTGTTAAAATCGCATCGATTCATATCAATCTGCACAGCTTTATTCGCTAACCACGGTTTAAACTTTAAAATTTATAATCTGTCTTCGAAACCATTCCACGTCGTTATAGTTAATACATATATATTTTTTAATCTATAATGAAATATCAAAGTAAAAATAAGTGTGAGAGAGATTTGGCTCCATTTGGTTTGCTTTTGGAATCATGATTCCAAAGGCAAATTTTGCAAATTATTTTTCAAAATTCATAATCAGACACACAATTCAAAAACACAGAACACAAAACTCTTTTTAAAACTCTTTTTAAAACTCTTTTGATAATATAGTGTTGAAGATAGTTAGTGATGGGATTGTTAAATTATCTTTATAAAAAAATCTAAAAAAAAATAATTTCTATATTTAAAAAATATCTAAAACAAATATAATTTTTTTTTTTCAAATAACAGGTTACAATTGCAAAAAAAAAAAAAAAAAAATACACGGTTCCAGTCAACCAACTGGGCGACAGGGTAGACCTAGTCCGTTCTTTTTAAAATTCAAAATTCAAAAACACCTTTCAAAACTCTTTTCAAAATTCATAACCAAACAAATTTTCTCTTTTCAAAACTCAACTCACAATTCCACACTCAAATCACAACTCCAAAAAGAGAATTACAATTCTAAAACTAAATAGTAGTATGTATATATATGTGAAATTTATTACAAAATAGTAGTATGTATATAAAAAATATTATGTAAAATTAGTTTGCATTATATATATGAAAAATATTATATAAATTAGTATTATATATCATGCAAAAACTTGATAATTGATTATAATATTTTTTAATCCGCTAATCTATCCAAAATCGATCAAATCGCAATTTGTCAATCCGTCAATCTATTAATCTGCTAATTCATTATTTGATTTATAATTTTATTCTCAAATTGTTCAAATTGTATCGCATATCCCTACTAGTAGGGTATTATCAACTTTATAGGTTTATTATGCGGATTCATATAAAGATGAAAAAAAATAGTAAAATTCACTCATTTCAATAACACAACCGGATATGTCTTGCGTTTAAAATAAAAGCAAGTCATTTGTTTGATGTTTAGGACTCTACTATAAAAATAAGGATACAAATTTCCATAAATAAATAAGTTGTAGGTCATTGTCATTACATTCTATATCTACATTCTTCTTTTAAAAGATGTCACAATTTTCTTTATCACACAAGGCCTTATCAATGCTCAGAAGTCAATGAAGACAAGCACACCATTAATGGCTGTTCCTCAAGTTGCATGACCCCATACAAAGAACTTTGTGGATTAGTTCCGTTAGAGACAGATGAAAAGTTGGCACTCTTAAATGACCTATCTACTCTTCGGAATTTTTTTTTCGAGTGGTGCTAAATGTATCTATCTTTTTACTTTGGACCCCTTATTCTTTTAAACCCCCACTTATGAAATTCAAATTATTTAAAATTTCTTTGAACCCCTAACTTAATACCAACATTATCCCTAAATTATTTAAAATTTCTTTGAACCCCTAACTTAATACCAACATTATCCCTATTGCAATTACCACTACTCCAAAGACATGCACACCCACTTCCCCCCCCCACCCCACTCCGCTCCACTCCACTCTACCGACTCCATTATCCCAACCCACCACGGTCTCTTGAACAAGATTAAAGTTTTCCACCCACCAAAGATATATATATATATATATTACCACATCT